GAAGCACTGGCCTGGCTACTTCGCCACAACTACGGTTTGAAGTGTCTGGAACACTACCTTGACGATTTCATCAACGTCTCACCACCAGCGCCGGTGGTCGCCACATCAACAGCAGCGGTGCACATGGCCACCATCCTGGAGGTTTTCGCCAACCTCGGGGTTCCCATCGCGGAAGGAGCAGACAAGGTTGTCGGTCCGGCCACGGTCATGACAGTGCTCGGCATTGAGCTGGATACTCAGGCTCTGGAAATGCGGCTGCCGGCCGACAAGCTTCTCGAGATCAAAGCGCGGCTCAACGAGTGGGCGGTCAGCCCATCGTGCACGAAACGTCAACTGTTGTCACTAATTGGCCTCCTCTCATTTGCGTCCAAAGTGGTTGCGGCCGGCCGCACCTTCACCCGTCGTCTCATCCATACCAGCACCACCGTGACAGGCTTAGATGAAGAAGTGCACCTGGACGCCGATGCTCAAGCAGACATCCGTTGGTGGAAGGAGTTCCTCCCACACTGGAACGGCCGAGCGCTTCTGCGTGACCCAGTATGGTCGAAGCCCCCAGACTTTGAGCTCTATACCGATGCTTCCGGCCTGGGATTTGGAGGTTTCTTTCAGAGTGCCTGGTTTTGCCAAGAATGGGGCCCGGAGCACCAGCACGGCCCTTTCTCCTCTATCATGTGGCGGGAGATGTATCCCATTGCTGTGGCCGCGCAATTGTGGGGCCCGCAGTGGCAGACGAAGAAGATCCTCCTCCATTGCGACAATCAAGCTGTCGCCACAGCATGGGAATCCGGCTCATGCCGGAATCTGGAGGTCATGAACCTCATACGGACCACCCTGCGTATTGCGGCACGCTACAACTTCATCCTGTTGATCCGTCACATCTCAGGTATCGACAACAGTATTGCGGACGCCCTCTCCCGTCTACAGCTCAGTCGCTTCCGCTCGCTAGCTCCGTCTGCCAATCCGGACCCAGTTCCACTGCCAACTCAGATCGTCTAATGATGTCTCACAATATATTCACAGCCCCTTGGGGTGTCCGTTTTGCTGTGTCTGGCCTTCGCCGTCACTACACTGACTTATTGTTATTTTTTTTCTGCCATACCAACCACACCGAAACCAATTTCTCAGTTCAATCTCTCCCTTACTATTCGCCCACCCTTTAGCACGGGCGGCTCTCCTCCCTACACTGCCCCCCCCCGCTTCGCTGCTCTCTTTTGGAAGGAAGTGGCTATGCAGTGCTCATATAGTGCAATCCTGCAAAAACCAAAAATTGGCTCTCAACGGTCATAGGCGTTTTGGCATCGTGGTATAGCTATGCCCCTATGTCAGGGTATTAAGTTGAGTACTGGGATGCTCATTGCACTCAGACTGGCACCGGGATGCCTATGCGAGCGATAATTATGTGGGCCGGCATCAAGATGGCCTTAGCGTGGATGCGTACACGTTACACCCTGGGCTTGATGCGAGGCTAAGTGATGCATTCTTAACTGTTTACGGCAATTCACATTTAATTGCGCGGAACTAAAACAAGCAGTATGGGGCCAAGTTGCCCACAGCCATAAGCGAGCACCGGGATGCTTTAACACCCAGACGGGCACCGGGTTGCGCGTAACAATACTAAGGAGAGCACCGGGATGCATATGTGAGCGGGTTGCGTTGTAAGGGGCACCGGGATGCCTATAATTGTTAGTCAAGCGGGCACCGGGATGCCCATATGAATTAAGCGGTAAGCGAGCACCGGGATGCTTATCACACCTGGACGGACACCGGGTTACACGTAATAATAAGTCCGGCACCGGGATGCCCAAGAGGATGGGCAGGTAGCGAAAGGGATACCTAAAATGCCCATATTTAGTATAGCTGGCACCAAGATGCTCTAAATACGCAAACTGGCGACGGACGCTGATGATTGTGAGGCGAGCACCGGGATGCTCAAATGCGTCCAAACCGGCGCATTAATACCGGGATGCTTCGGTAAATAAATACGTATTGCAAGCAGCCAGTTAGTTTGCCTTCAAAGTCATTGTAGCTGGGCACAGCGATGCGATGGTCTGTCATGTTTTGCTCTTCGTACTGGCTTAACTGCTTGCTTATTTTATTATCCACTGCGTTTGGTGCTGCTGCCGTGTCCCCACATTGCAGATGGGTGGGTTCGATATCATTCACCTCCAGCCACCACCAGGAGGGAGATACTCGACGCTCAAGCCAGCAGGCTCCTGGCCCAATCGGTGGCGCCCCGGACACGCCAGACCTACAGCCTTGGAGTCAGGTCCTACATTCAGTTTGCGCAGCAGCTCCGCTTCAGCCATCTGGCACCGACGGTCAATGATATAGTTCTCTTCATGACGTCACTGTCCGCGTCACTGTCTGGGAAGACAATCAGGGTATACCTAGCAGCCGTCCGCCACCACTTTGTATTGAATGATGGTCCGGTGGATCTGCTCAGAGCACCCAGGATACTGGCCTTGCTGAAGGGCATCGACCGTGACAAGCTGACGTCCAGGCCAATGCCTGTGCCTCCGTCATCCAGACGTGCGGTGACACCCAACGACCTCAAGGCTATCCGCGAATTCCTGGAGTTCTCGCATTATGCACCGCAAGACAAGGCCATGCTCTGGGCAGCAGTACTCACAGCTTTCCACGGGCTCATGCGTGTGAGCGAGTACACGGCGCCATCACCAACAACGGTGGATGCTCACAGGACTCTTCAGAGGAGCCATGTCGCCCTCTCAGAGGAGAAGGTCACGATCACCCTAGGGGTAACGAAGACGGCACAGTCGGGCGCTGGGGGCACAGTGTTACTGCATGCAAGCAGGTATCCCGCAACCTGCCCTGTGCGTTCAGTCGCTGCCTACATAAGTGCCAGGGAGTGGGCGGATACAGGTGCCCCATTCTTCGCCTTCCGCGAGGGGCGCTACCTAACCCCGGGCGACGTGAACGCCATTCTCAAGAGGGCTCTCGGCCCAGGCGTTTCAAGCCATTCTCTGCGGATCGGTGGTGCTACGGCCATGGCCGAACGACAGGCCCCGGAGTGGCAAATTCAAGCGGCAGGGCGCTGGTCAAGCTCTGCGTACAAGGCGTACGTCCGTGTCCCGTCGGGCATGCCAGCTTATCAGCAGACAGAGCTAGCGTAGCCAGGGTGACCGCGGCCCACGACTTCAAAATGTTTCTCACCTTATCACTATTCCCTTGTTCCCTGATCATTGCCTTGGAACAGTATCACTTTGCTCTCAGATGTTTCAAAATTTGATTCGAATGATTAATAAATTTCGGGCACATGAAACCCCTCCAAAAAATACCAACCGTGTTCCGTTGTTGTGTGGAGTGAATGTTGAAAGGCAACTCTTGCACCTTTGTACAACTTTGCTGTAGAAAAGGTCAAAATCGTACACCAAATCGCTTGTCGCATCGCATCGCAAAAGTTGAGCCAAGCTCTGCGATGGCATGCGATGGCCCAGTTGCGTCAGTTGCGTGGGGTGCGACATGGCTGCGATTTGGGGTTTTCCCGGTTTCGCGCCTGTCGCATCGCGTGTCGCATCGCAAAAAAGCTTCTGTGAATCCCGCTTATAGGCGATTCACACGACAGGCAAATCCACGTTTGCAGGAAAGTCACCATGGAGATATTCCTGCGGGTGACCAAAATTTGCCCGCGGGAATCAAAAGTGTCCATGGCCTTTTTGCCCGCGGATGCACTCATCTGCGGGCACTTTTACAGTTATGAGGCTGTGAGGTCGTACTATGGTACGGTAGTCTTGAACCCTGGTTGTTTGGCCTTTGTTTTTGGGTACTCATTCCAAATCACCACAGTAACGCCGTATACTCACCGGATACTCGCGGGAGCTCTGGCCGCCACCCGCGGCCGTGTGAACTGCGGCCTCACGTTTCACTTCCTGCGGGCACTTGACAAACGTGGATTTGCCTGTCGTGTGAATCGCCTATTAGGCCTCGGTCACACTACGGCAGTTTGAAGCTGGACGCAGCGTCAAGCCGCATCACTTGACGCAGCCGGGGGGTCACACAGTGTTTTGTTTTTTTCCAACTCATGACTGCCGCGGCCTGACGCATTTGTCAACGTCACAAAATCACCAGGGATACTCAATGACGACACGGATCTCCACGGAAACCGGCCTGTTGTTTATTACACAAAACATTTATCGGACAAAGTTCTCAAGTTCTCAAAGTTAGTTCTCAAATTTTTCATTTACAGTAGAAGACAAGTGAGTTGAAAGGTCCACGATCGTTGTTGTTTCTTTCCGAATTCGAAGTCCTTTTCAGTTGTGGTGTCATATTGTAGTGTCATGGATCGGGAAAGAAAAGTCCGCATCGCAGCTGTGTTTCTCCTGACCTCCTCATACTGGTTGTCCTTTTTGGCGAACTCTGACGATGTTCAACGGAAGATTTTGGATGAACAATCACTGGCTGCTGTAGGAACAGACCATCTGAATAATGAACATGGAGCAGATTTCTTCACTCGTCTCCTCCCGCTCCTGTGTTCTCCACTTTTTTGGAGAATTTTGCGCAAGTGCAAAAGGGGAAGGAGATTCTGGGCTGCTCCACGTCTCGGAGGTACATGGGAGAGAGATTTCCTCAGTGCATACCGAATTGTAGGAGAGAGATTCAGCGATTGGGAAGACTTTCAGTACAGGGACGAGTTCCGTCTGTCGAAAGAGGCTTTTCATCGTCTCCATATGAAGTACGGACATCATCTGGTAAAAGCCACGACGAAGATGAGGAAGCCTGTCAGCTCAGAAAAGAGGTTGGCTATGACTCTGTCCTGCTTGGCAAATAATGTTTCCTTCAAGACCTTGGCAAGGCAATATGGTGTTGGGAAATCCACTGCAGTCAAGATTGTGCATGAAACTGTCCAGGCCTTCAAGAGGCATCTAGTGCGCGACGCAATTAAATTTCCCTCGGGTGACGAACTCCGTCAAGTTGTCGTCGATTTTTAAGGATTGTGCTGTCTCCCTCAGTGTGCGGGCGCACTGGATGGATCATTCGTGGAGATGAAGAAGCCAGCTCTGTATGGGGATTCGTACTGGTGCTATAAGCATAGGATTGCCATTCTTCTGTTGGCTGCAGTTGATGCCCGGGGGATATTCACGTACGTGAACGTGGGTAATCCTGGCTCAGTTGGTGATGCTGCCGCATATATCAACTCCCGTCTCTTTGACAATCTCACAACCCGCCAATGGCTCACCGTACCAGAAAAGACTATCGGAAACAATCGAGTCCTGCCCTACCTGGTTGGAGATGCCGCATTCGCACTCTCTTCGTCGCTCATGAAGTGCTTTTCAAACCCAGTAACACCTCAGGAGAAGACCTTCAACTTCCGCCTGATTCGAACCCGTCGCGTTGTGGAACAGGCATTTGGACGGCTGAAGGGGCGTTTCAGAATTCTGGTGAAAAACAACTATTCAGACCCGGACTTTGTTTCTGACGTAACATTGGTTTGTTGTGCATTGCACAATGTTTGCGAACGCTGCCAGTGTCCCTTTGAGAGTTCATGGGTCATCAATCCCATCCACTATCAAGCACCACCAGGTCAGGACAATGCAGGTGCAGATGGTGAAGGCTTGGCGCTTCGCAATATCCTGGCCAACCACATCCATGCTCATCATCCAGTGCAGTAGAAATTGCAAGGATGAATTTGCCTACAATGCAAGCGATTGTCGTCTGGTCTTCTTTTCTTTTCTCTGTTTATTCTTTTTACCAGGCGTGGGCCATCCCCTGGACTATCAAAATGGGTGCCTTATTATTTTGTTTTTTTCTCTGTTTATTCTTTTTACCAGGCGTGGGCCATCCCCTGGACTATCAAAATGGGTGCCTTATTATTTTGTTTTTTTTCTCTGTTTATTCTTTTTACCAGGCGTGGGCCATCCCCTCGACTATCAAAATGGGTGCCTTATTATTTTGTTTTTTCCTCTGTTTAATCTTTTTACCAGGCGTAGGCCATCCACTGGACTATCAAAATGGGTGCCTTATTATTTTTCTGTTTTTTCTGTTTATTCTTTTTACCAGGCGTGGGCCATCCCCTGGACTATCAAAATGGGTGCCTTATTATTTTGTTTTTTTCTCTGTTTATTCTTTTTACCAGGCGTGGGCCATCCCCTGGACTATCAAAATGGGTGCCTTATTATTTTTCTCTTTAAAAAAGGTCTAACCGTACTGTGCTGCGAAATTCCGTTCGACTGTTATTTGCACACGGCGTTGTATTTGGTTTTGGTCTCGTGGAGTCCAATGTCTGGTGTCCTATATGGTCTGATGTGCATGTGGGTGTAGTGTGATGTGTGACGATTATGGTATGTGGTGCATGCAAGAGTACGTGTTGTCAGAGTGTGAGAATCTGCTTCCGTCTGTGTGAGAGTGACTGTGAAGTGAATGCTGTGCATGCGCAGTGCTAGTGTGGTCTAGGAATGAGAGTGATATGTGATTCGTCCGCGATATGGTTGTCTTGTCTTGGTCATATTATGTTCTGTACGTATTGGGCCCCGATTTGCACGCACGTTAGTACTGCTTGTTCTTTGATATTTCTTTGTGTCCTTTCTGTCGTCTTTTTGATGAACAGAAGTGTCCATAACACCAAGAGGAATGTTAATTCTCTTTGCTCAACTGCATAAAATACTCAGATATGTCTTTCACTAGCTTCGTTCAGATAAGTACGATATCGACTCAAATCAATCAATGTGTTTATAGGCGGAATGTTAATATGGGCCTGAATATAACTGGTGGAGAATCAACAAAATGTTAATATCAACATGCTCCAAAATGCACCAAACAAGAAAAAATAATCTTAGTCCTCAAATAGCCGCTTCAGCAGGTTGCCTTGAAACATCATAAATTGCTCCTGCATTTGGACCATTCGATCAGAATGGCGCTCTGCAGCAGCTTCCTTTCTCTGTTGTTCGGTGTCATCGCGCTTCAGCTGGAAAATTTCCCTATGCTCTTCCATCGTCGTCTGAAGAGGAATTAATGCAAAACACATGAGATAATACACAATATGCATTAGTCAAGTTGCAGCTGAAGCTGGTGCCAAATCAAACAAAATTCAAGAATGTAAACAAATATTTTGATTACCTATTATGGCATGAACAGAGCAGGCAAAATCAATCACATTCGCAACCTTCCTCTAGGTTTCCTCACTCTCCATGGTACAGTTGGAGACAGGATGTTGTAAACATTTTGAAGCAGGTAGATATCTTCGCAATCTATATCTTCGCATGCAAAGATTCAAATCAACACAATCAAGAACACACTTCCTTTCATCCATCAAACGTCTTCTTTCCCTTCTTCTTTTCAGGATAGTACAGGGAATGTTGGAAATTTGGAAAAACACATTACTATAGAGGAAGGAAGTGTCTTGTGGATAGTGTATTCTTGATACCGCAGGTAGATATCATCAATATATGTTTTCCTAGGAGGGCACGTATCGACAATATCTACCAGCCAAGAAGGGAAAATGTCAGAAATACCTTCCCGTCAAATACATGTTGGGGCCACAAAATAATTTACCTGAAACTCATGCTGCATCTGCTGGCCTTCCCTCTGCATGGTCACAATGGAGTCAAGGAAGGCCTTTTGACTCTGCCCCTCTTCGCTGCGGGTTTCAATCCAGGGTCTGCTTCCGCAGCAGAGGCAGGCGTGTCCTCTTCACCATGAACCTCGCAGAGAAGAGCATCTGCTGCGTCCATGACCGATGGTGACAAACCATCTGAATCCCCCAATATTGTCGAATCCAGAATGGTGTCGTCACCACCGGCACTCAGGCGAGGTCGTGTGGGCGTACTTGAAGACGATCTACGTGACATGGTCAAGCTAGCACCCAACGGTGTTGAAGGGGCGTGTGACGTTGATGATGCCGACACTGCTGATGCTGCTGGTAATGCCGACGTTGCTGATACCGACACTGCTGATGATGCTGACACTGCTGATGATGCCGACACTGCTGATGATGCTGATGATGCCGACACTGCTGATGATGCCGACACTGCTGGTGATACCGGCACTGCTGCTGATGATGCCGACGCTGCTTCTGATGATACCGACACTGCTGCTGATGATGCCGACGCTGCTGCTGATGATGATGCCGACACTGCTGCTGATGATGCCGACACTGCTGCTGATGATGCCGACACTGCTGCTGATGATGCCGACACTGCTGATGATGCTGATGACGATCTCTGTGTGGCACCTTCATCATCACTGCCCGACCCGGTCTCTAGCGACGCCCAAATACCCCATGTCGGATGCTGGCCAAACAAATCATGGTACAATTTAAAATTACTCCACTTGGCCACTTTCTCCATCAAAACCCAATCGAGGCCATCGTATGGGTCAGCTGGAGGTCCGCGGCCATCTGAGCTGCTACCAGTTGTTGCCGGCCTGGCACGCACTTGCGGCAACACAAGTTTCCTGATGAGTTTCTTCCCTGAAAAATGGACAATGGAAAATGGAACGAAATGTATTAATTGTTTATCAAAGGCACAAGGTTGGCTGACATTTTCTTGGAATATACAGAGAATTCCTATCAGTGCAGCTTCACCAAAGCAGAACACATCTTGCTATTTTTCGGCTTGCAGTAATCACGTTCACCAACATTTTGTTATAATTATGTTAATTTTTGGCAAAGCAAAACAATTCAAATTATATTATAATAGCTCCAGCCACACACATGGTCATAGTGCACTGCCGGTTTTGTAAACTTCAGCCAAGTGATGATCAGCTTTCTACTAGTACTGGTTCGCAACAGTTCAATATTTACTATACAATACTCCGAAACCAGATATGAGCCGCAATCAGCGAAAACGACCCTTAGAGGTTTCGTAATTTTTTCAAGAAAAATGTCGATTTGTGACGTTCAACGATTTTTTGATCGCGCTGCGAACAGCGCGACGAGTTCTTCTTGATCTCCTTGCTTGAATTTATTTGAAGTAAGTACTTTAGTTGAAGTGGTGTCGAGTGGCGACTCGAGTGTTCCTTGATCTTGTTGCGATGGCTGCGGACGCCAGAGCTGTTCGCAGAGCACACGCGGCAGTCATTGTGTACAGCTAGCTCGAGCCTGGTGGGGAGTGGATGCTGAAGTAGCCGCTGAAGTTCAGAGTGAGGATGAGACGTTCTTTGGTTCCGACATCGACATCGATGTCGACAGCGAGGCGGAATCGCAGCCGTCATCTCCTGCTGCGTTGCGGCTCAAGGTGGTCGATGACTCGTCAGAGTCGGAAGATGAGGAGTCATCACCTGAGATAAATTCTGAGTCTGGGGCTAGTGACGGCAGCGACGTCGTGTCGTCAGCTGCGCAGGAAGAAATGGAAGACATTGCGGAACGACTCCACGCAGGATGCAGCTGCAAATAAGTCGATCATGTCTCCGCACTCTTCCGCTATTCTTTGCCATTCTAGCTGCTTACTGCGCTATTTCAAAGGTATTCAAGCTGCCTACCCACCTAAAAATGCTGAATATTTATTGTACACATATATCGTATACATACATTGCACCAATTTGGAGTACATCTTGTATATTGGTGTATACACCCGTTTTGAATCGGAATATTGAACTTTTTCTTGGCTGAGGTCCTTCAGTAGATGTGTTTCAACAAATTTCTAACCAAAAAGGAATTTTGAAAAATTTGACCCTAAGGGCTGTTTTCGCTGGTTGAGGCCCATATAATTATTGAGAAAGGCAGAAATGATTTCAAATTCAAATTCTTTGCCTATACTACCTCCACCACCACCCTGGAATAATATATACATGTACATGTAGCTCACCTTTCTTCCTGATCGTATCCAGCTTGTTTTTTATCGTAGCTTGCGTCAAGATAACATCAGCCATTTTCCCCTGGCTCTTCGCGACAGCAACAACATGCTCCAATTGAGTGACGACCCATTCATATTGATCTTTTTTGGTAATCATCCTTTTCTCCGAAAACGCCTCGCTCTTCCGCCAGGTTCGGAGTAGAGCAGCCTCGGCCTCGTGGGTCCACGTACTCATCTCGAAAATTTAAAAAATGAACAAAACAAACTTTGAGCAGACGAATGTCGAATGTCAAAATTAATGACTGCAGAACTCAAGCAACTGTCTTGAGAGACACTGCTTTTCCGCCAGGCGTCACTCCCGTCAGCGTCAACGCAGCCGATTTCCCCACGTCAGACGCAGCAGCGTCTGACGCTCAAATTTGCCGCGTTGCGTCAGTTGCCATGGAAAAGCTCATGATTCTGACGCTGACGCAGCATTTTTATTTTTTTTTGCCGTAGTGTGACCGAGGCCTTAAGGGACACGTGCGTGGAAATCCGTGTTGAGAAACCGACCCTGCGATTTTATGAAAAGTTGTACGGGATTGTACGGGAATTGGATAAAATACACGTTTTTCCGGAGCAAAATATCGAGATTCTTGTGCCAGGCTTCGCAAAATATCGAAGATTTCGCAGCAACATTTTGCGGCAAAATATCAAGGCGAGCGGAGCAGAATCTGTCTGGGCCTACTCTGGGGCCTAGGTAATTAGCGCGCCACCGTATATGGCAGGTGGAGCAGCAGGGTAAAATGTGTGCCGGAAACTCACCATCATCCGGTCGACTAACTTCAAGGTTGTGCGACTTTACACAGCGGCGCCGGCCACTCATTACTTGTTATTGCTTG